ATATATATATATATATATATATATGCACATTTATTTCACCAGGAGTGCCAGTAGCCAGTGCCCGCCCTCCCTTCTCCTCCTGTTTCCTTTATAAACGTCTCAGCTATCCTCGCCACTGACCAGGAGCTCCTTGTCACACAAGCATGAGTTTGTGCCGTCGCCTATTAGTGTAGAATTCCTGTGACAGGAAAACAACTTCCGATTCGAGAAGGTATTCTTAAAGAGTTCGGTAATTCCTTCTGAGAGGAATGATACTGGTCAATTTGACCATCTCTGCATGAAAGCACGGGCAAGTAGCGGAAGGCTTCTTGGAAGCAGCAGATGAAGCTTTGGATATATCCGGAGAAAGACAAGAGATCCAGAGAAAGGAGAGAGGCTTTGGCTGAGATGAACCCAGCTTCCTCAGAGTGCCAAGTACAAAAATAGAGAAGCTTAGAGAGACTGTGGCACAGTCTTTATACTTGGGATTGACTGAGATGGGTAGATACCAGGGACACATGTTCAGACACCTGCTGAGAAAAAAAAAAAAGGAGTGTACAACTGAACACGCACCAGCGTGTGTGCCGATGAGGGATGACACTGCAGGTGGCTGCTGTGAATGGGGGTGGGGAAAAGACAAATAAACATCTTGTAAAAGTAAAAGCTTTTAATATTGAAAATAATCTGCACAACATACTTGTCTGAGGACGTTGAAATGTGGGATGTGGGAAAATGTGGGAACACGACACGAGTTCAAGCGACATACATTTCAAACTGGCCTGTTGAAAACCGACCATCTCAAAATGTGTTAAAAATGAGCCTAGATGGAAGAAGTGAAGTATGAATCTGCGTTATTATGGAACACTCTGTTGTCACGTACCTCATGCGGTTGAAGGCCCATGTCATTGAGAACACTCTGGAAGAATGTTGGGGATGGCTTTCCAACTACTTCAGCCTTTAAATCGCAGGCATACTGGAGGGAAGAAAACGCTAACCAAAATGAGTCATCGTTGAGAACTGCTGTTCTTAATAAATGTATCAATGCGAACAAAGCACCTACTGTACCTCCAGAGCCTTCATGTACGCCCCGACATCTAGGTTCAAACCATCTGTCTCTTTGTAGTACCTCCTATGAAGAGATCACAAATATTTTGTTTATTATTATCAGTCAGAATATGCAATATAGTTATGCCTACTGACTTTTAAATATCCTCTTACCCTTGGCCCAGAGAGAACAGCACTGGCTTCTCCAGGCCTATAAGGACCCTGAATGCCTCGTTCAGGTTCTGGTAGGAAAACGTTTCAGCTGCGTCTCCGATCACCACACAGTTTGGGTTGGTCTTGTCAACACTGTCAAACTCGGGGAGAAGTCCTGCATGAGAGTAAACATAAATACCTTTTAGGATCGGGTCATTTAAAGTATAAGTCTGATGATATTATATATTTTTCCATATTGTTAACAAATCCCACGAGAGGACCAAAATCTGAGTTTATTCCTCAAAAACTATTAATAATGCATCACTGGGCCTAAAGGATGCACTGGGTGGCTGAGAGCCACAGACAGACTGGTAAACAATACAACACCACTTCTGATGAAATCACGTTGACGTTAAACATTGTGTGTTTCGCTGCATCACACAATTCGACGATATTCTAAACACTACATCTGAGCAAATGGTTTGCCTTAACAGATTCTCATGGCAATTTAATATGTTTTAACAGCACTGAGTATAGGGTCAGACATTGAGAATAACCAGGTTGTTTACTGTCAAAATGCAATAAGTCTTTACCATCATACACAAGCAGGTGAGGCCGTAAAGCCCTCTCCTTAAGGACAGCTACGGCTGCAGGAGCAGGAGAGAAGACCTCAGACACCAGGATGTCAAAGCCCAGTCTCTGCAGCTTGGCGACAAACGTGTCTCTGGCGGCCTGGGTCTCATTGGTGCAGAAGCGCAGCTGCAGGTCGGAAGCCTTGAGCCTTTGAAAAAGAGGACAAGGGGGGCAGATTGAGGAAGGAGCACCATGTTTACTGCGCACCACAGTGACACTGACATGGAGACAGCTCCTGCAGCTTATGCAGCACTGGTTTAAATCATGCGTGCACGTGGACCCTTTAGCAGTCTAGCAAGGAACTGCTAGTATCCTTAAGTTAGCAACACTATGGATAACCGGGTGCGTGCACTTTGGTCCATATGCTGAACGCGCAAGCAGCTCAAATCTCTTGACGACTATTCACTCACTTTTTCACAGCTTCGATGGAACCGGGAATGGCGGTCCCGTCGCCCTCCCCGCTGTCATACAAGACGCCACACAGGTCCAATATGACACCTTTCAAACTCTTCGCACAGCCCGGCCAGCCCGTGTCAGCGGCCATGACGAAATGCCAGCCTAAAAAAGCGCATGCGCGTAAAGTGTGGCAGGCAACCCATCACGCTCTCGTGAATTAAATATTGTCACGGTTCATATTAATGTACCATACAGTCTGTGTAATGTAGTCGTATTTATAGGCAATACGTACAGTCGGAGTGAGTCACTGACACGCTGCAGTATTATGAGGTTTTATATCATTTTATATAATTGTATATGACTGATTTCAACAAGTGTGTGACTGTTTTAATTAGTGACGATTGTGATGACTAAAGCTGATGTTTATTTATAATTGATCGATCTTGCAATCATCGGAAACATTGCAACATGTAGGCGTGTCCTCTGACGCAGCCACACACGTGTCTCATCCCGCCCCCACCCACCGGCTAGACAGTCATTTAATAAGCAGGAACCTTCAGCTTCACCCATCAGGACCGGGACGGACATCACTCTAGAGGGATTTCTATCGTCGCTTCACTTCCCTCCACGTCTCCTCTCTCCTGCTCGGTAATTCAGGGGATGCGCGTGAAGTATCGGGAATCAAGCGGGTGCTAATGTTAGCTAGCTAGCATTAGCTAGCTAGCCAGCCGGTACTAACTAAACATTTGTGTTGGTTTAGCACCGATATCGAAAGCGTTTACACGCCTTCGGGCGAGAGGGAGCATTAATTCACGTAACATCGACTGTCATATTTAGTTTGAGAGTTTTGTAAGAGCGTTAAGTAATGCGCCATGATGCAGTATTATGTAACCCAAAATGGGTTAAGGTGACTGTCATCTAGGTACTCGTACTCAGTCTTTATATAGCATCTGGTTATGACATTACTGTTGTGGAGGCAGCTCCCCAGGAACCTATCACCTCTCTTGGAGCATTAATGGGAACTGTCACGAGTCCAATATCCTTGATGTGACCCAGTCCAGGTGCTGCCTGTTTGCTGTGTGTATTTATTCACTGTGCAAGGTTATTGGTTATCCAGCACAGACTTCTGGGTATCTCTACACATTTTATTTTTTTTGCAAATGTCATGGAAGTTCAATACGATTCAGTGCCACGACATCATGAAGGCCACACTCTCAGTCATAGTGATGCATAGTTAAACGTTTAGAAAGTAGCACTACAGCAAGACGAGTGGTACATGTTACATTAGTAGATAACAGCGAAGGTCAATTTTTAATTAAGTCTACCCTTGATTGCAAACCAAATAGAAAAGTCAGCTCAGCTGAGTTGCGGTGCTGCTGTGGGGTTAGCTTTTGTTAACCCTCTCATATCAAGTCTGTGCCTGTCCTCTATTGTGTTGCATGTGAAAGAGAAAAGCATTGCTCAGCAGACCTGTAACGCCTGTTTGCTCCATCTGCGTAATAGCTTATTAAGCTGTAGCTACATATTGTTTTGTTTTTTTATGATGGGGCAAGAGCATCACTGCTAATGACAAGTTAATTACTGGTTCTATAATTGTATTTGTCCGGTACAGGTTTTATAGTTTTCACAGCTGCTGCCAGTAAAGCCTACAAAGGCCAACTTTTGTGTTTAGCTCACTGCGTAGCTGTGTATCTAGGGGCGCTTTTCATTATGATTTTCTTTATCGATTAATCTGCAGATTACTCTCTTGGTTAGTTAGATTAATATGTTTTTCTTGTCAGGCTCTCTGTATTTAGAAGTTATCATAAACCACTTCCTTGGAACAAAGAAACCCCTTATTGTTTCATAAATTCAACACTGATGAAAAACAATTTCTGTATTTTGTGTGTGTGCTCTTATCAAACAGACGTAGCAGCTCTCAACCATGAAGGGAATGATTCTCCAGCTCAGCCGCAACCTGAGCCGCGCCGCCCCTGCTCTTAGTCGCAGCGTCCACTCTGGCACACGTCCTGCCTCCACCGTCGCAACCAAACTGAGGTCTGACCGTCCGCTCACCTCGGAGGAAATCTACTTCCGCGAGGACAAATATGGAGCGCACAACTACCACCCACTACCCGTGGCCTTGGAGAGGGGGGAGGGTGAGTGCGGAGCATCGTATGATTACTAAAAATAAAAGTGTGATTTATGTATGATTCCCTAATCTCTGGTGATGTTCCTCAACATCCTACAAATCACTTAGGAACCATCACACTTCCAAACAACTCTGTTTTCTTACTTACTCAGGCATCTATTTGTGGGATGTGGAAGGCAGCCGGTATTATGACTTCCTGAGTGCTTACAGTGCCGTAAACCAGGGCCACTGCCACCCGAAGATCATAGCCGCGCTCAACGCCCAAGCCTCCAAACTCTCCCTGACTTCCAGAGCGTTCTACAACAACGTGCTGGGAGCCTACGAGGAGTACATCACTGGCTTGTTTGGCTACGACAAAGTCTTACCCATGAATACAGGTACTGTCAGGAAACATCTCATGCGAAACATCCTCAGAAGTTGTTACCAGTGCGTTTGTTGACATTTCTTACTTTTGTGACGTATTAGGCGTTGAAGGTGGCGAGACGGCCTGCAAGCTCGCCCGCAAGTGGGCCTACGAAGTAAAGGGGGTTCCCAAAAATCAGGCCAAAATCATTTTTGCAGGTAAGTCACAAAGTTATGTTGCAGAAGGCTCCGTCACGGTTATGGAGTTTGTCCCATTTGTTACCTTACCCAGTGTCTTTATAAGAAAATCCTCTCGACAGATAAAGGACAAGGTGACCACAGGTTTCAAATTGCCCACATGATGTAAAGATGTAAACGGAACAATGATAAATATGCCTCATTCGCTCTTCATTTAGATGGAAACTTCTGGGGCCGCACCATGGCAGCCATCTCCAGCTCAACTGACCCCAGTAGCTACGAAGGTTTCGGCCCCTACATGCCCGGCTTTGAGATCGTCCCATACAACAATATTCCTTCACTGGAGGTACAGGTTCTGATTCTCCAAACTAGCTGCCTTGACACCCTCATTTTCTATGTTTAAACATGGGAACATAATGATTGACTAAAGTAGTGTGAATTTAATTTATTGATTCTTTTCTACAGAAAGCTTTTCAAGACCCCAATGTTGCTGCTTTCATGGTGGAGCCCATCCAGGGCGAGGCTGGGGTGGTGGTGCCAGACCAGGGCTACCTCACCAAAGTCAGAGAACTCTGCACCAAATACAACGTGAGTCTGAACAAAGACAAGCAGGAATGAGACGTCGTGTGACTCCTCAGCTTACTGTAGGTTTGAATCTGCCTGGTATGTGGATGTACAGCACACCACTCTAGAGACAACATTTTGTAGTTTTTATCATGCTGTTTTTATCAAGTGCATGCGGTATTTCCCCATATGCACAGCTCCTAGGGCCCTGTTTGACCTAAATAGTCCGTAATATACTGTTTCTAAGCAGTGCAAAAACACACAGCAGCCAGCTGCTACAGTACAGCGTGGCTCCACCTGACAGCCTAATTAATTGAAGGCGAACTGCAGTCTGGGCTTCAGTTTTGGCCATTTATATATCGGCTTTCTTATCGGGAAGAAAAGCATTCTTCACAAGGAGAGACGGGGTTTAATTATATTATGTGAACCGGAAATCACTTTCCACCGGGCAAGGAGCAGAAGAGGTTAACACAACATGTCGCTAAGTCGAGGTGAATTTGAAATATAATATCAAATTATTGTACTTTTTTTACACTCTATGAACTCCCTGTTGACCATGAGAATTTCTATGTTCACGTTGAATAAACACACTGTAACTTTGCACAGCATTACACATTCAGGGATTGCGCAATGCTGAACAAGCTGTAACGAAAAAGCGTTCGATGTAGTTTAGTCATTCTAAACTAACAAAAACAAAACGATTCTTGGCTTCATGCGATTATACATGAATGAAAAGTTATATAAAGATTATGTTCAATTTCTGCTAATGTATCCTACACACTGTTCCTTTTTTTTAAGTTTATGGATCTACAGGCCCAAAAAGAAACCTCGGGCTGTGGTGACGACTGCAGCTGGGCTTTGAGATCACTACTAAAGACCTCTGTGTTTTGTCCAGGTGTTGTGGATCGCTGACGAGGTGCAGACGGGCTTGGCGAGGACTGGCCGGCGCCTGGCTGTGGACCACGAGGAAGTTCGTCCAGATATCGTGGTTCTGGGCAAAGCTCTCTCTGGAGGAGTTTACCCTGTAAGCATTTTTGTTGTCGTTCACTCACACGTCATATCATGTTAGGGTTTTGTTTTGCAAGTAGAAGACTCCAACATAACTGTCATACGTTTGACAGCAGTATAGATCATAGTAGTTATGTAACCTTTGCGTTCACTGATCTGTGTTTGTGTGCCTCAGGTGTCTGCTGTGCTGTGTGATGATGAGGTGATGCTGACCATCAAGCCTGGAGAACACGGCTCCACTTTTGGCGGTAACCCCGTGGCCTGTCAGGTCGCAATCGCCGCACTTCAGGTCAGCATTAAAATGCACTTCATTTATAGTTTCTTTATCTATCTACCCTTTAACAACTCATTGCTACTTCTGTTTTTTGCCTTTTTGTTTTAATCGATTAAATGGAGGGAACTCTCACTTGTGATATGCAACATACCGCAAAGTTACCTTCAAAGCCAATTTAACATTAGAAGAAAAGTATGCAAGTCACATTGATGTCCTACATCTGCTCTTTGTTTGCAGGTGATTGAGGAGGAGAAGCTGGCAGAGAATGCCGAAAGGATGGGAGTGCTGCTGCGGAGCGAGCTGAGTAAACTGCCCAAAGACATTGTGACAGCAGTCAGAGGGAAAGGCCTCCTCAACGCCATCGTCATCGAAGAGACTAAAGGTACAGTGCTGAAGTATTCTAAAACCGCAGCCCTATTGGTGACCACTATTACTAAAGTAAAAACTTCCCAGCTAATGGGCTTTCGTTTTGTACATGAAGCATGATCTGGTCAACCGTTTTAGTTTACAAAATAAATCCAAGCTTTCATTAAATAAGCAAATCCACACTTGGGGGACCAGTGTGTAGGATTTAGTGGCATCTAGCAGTGAGGTTGCATGTTGTAACCAACTGGATTAAAACATATGAATATTATATTCCATTCCTGCCAATAGATCCCCCCCCTTAACCCTTAAATAATTTAGATTTGTAGTCTTTGAATGACATCAGACAATTAAATTAGTACCAAATGTTGTCTCAGTACTGAAAATCAGCAAGACAAATGAAGAGCAGAACACTATTGGCACCTTGCAGTCACTCAATCTGACCTTCTTTTATTTTTATTACAACAATCCTCTCAGACTATAACGCCTGGAAGGTGTGCCTGCAACTTCGTGACAACGGCCTGCTGGCCAAGCCCACCCACGGTGACATCATCCGCCTGGCCCCTCCCCTCACCATCAAAGAGCACGAGCTGCGCGACTGTATCGACATCATCCAGAGAACCATCTTGTCCTTCTAAACTAGAACCCAAACTACTCGACAACAATACGCAGACGACTTTCCACCTGATAATCATAATTAACAGGTTACGCTAAACATTTCAGTAGTTTTATTTCTATTTTTTTAGACCGGAGTTCTTGGACGGTAGAAATACAGTATAGAGATTGTGTGGAGTGTGCTTCTATGAGGCTATATGGACACTTGTGTACAGAAAAAAAAAAAGTTCTGATAGACTGCAACACAACTATTTTGAATGTTCTATATTTAATTCTGAGGCTGACCCGAATCCTTCGAAGCTTTAACCAAGTCGATCAGAGTTTAAATCTGTATTTTAATGCCCAAAAGTATTCGGGATAGCCCTAGATATAATTTCCGCTGGTATAGATTGATATAAATAGTCAAAGTGCTTTTCTTCAATAAAACCTTAAGGTTATGTGATGTTTTCAGGGACGCAGGCAGTCTAAATTTACAAAGATTTTATTAAAGTTTTCTCCTCGGAGGCATACAATAAAGTCTGACCGGCTGATGTGCAGGACTTTAAAAGTTGAAAGTACACTGAAATATAATCTTGTTTACAGTCAATATATCAAACCGAGTTGAGTAGTCTGGTAAACACTGCTGAACTACTGCTGTCTGAGAACATGAACCTTGTGAGACCAGCCTTGTTGCATAGAGGGCCAGCTAGTCTGGGTATTTTTAAGAGCTCCAGAGCAGGTGTTTGCACATTTTGTAAAAGCCTTTCAAGTCTTGGAGAATGCTGTGGGTATTTTAGTGCAATTGAAATAAAATTCCCGGAAACCGTTTGAAGTACTTTTAATTAACATTACAAATGTGACCTGTATCTGTAGTACAATGTTGTCATTGAACTTATTGATAAATGTTTTCTCTGTTACAAAACAATGTCTTTCAAAGGCAATGTCACCTTTTAGTTGTTGCACAATCCATTGATCTTCAAATAAATTATTGCAGTCTTATTTCCTGTGTTGCTGTTTGTGTGGAACAATGAATTTGATTGGCCCGTTTCAGGATGCAGGTTCACCGAGTTATCTTTGCATTTTCATTTGTTAGCTTTGCTGATTTAAAAACACTGAAACCCCTAAAATCCAGACCATTGAATGATGTAAAAAGACCCAGGTATCCAGATACACTCCAAAAACTGGTCTTTGTTGGCTTAAATGACATGACAAGCCTTAACTTGTCACAATGCTGAACAAGTTGCAAGACCAGATGCACAAACCTAGCTGTGGTCTCAGTTGATGTCATTATTTACCCAACAGAGCAAAGCATACAGATCATTTTCTCTGTCAAAGACTATGGCCCAATCCCAACGTCCCCCTCCAAGGCCTCAAACCCTGAACTCTCAGGGACTTACTGACGTCACCTGGTAAATGGTTGACTGTGAGGGCTTGAAATGGTGCAAATACGAATGGGACGGCACTTTGCTGCAACATATCACGTTACCATGATGACGTCAACAAATCTGTACAATTGTGGGTATTTATTTGAACTTTTTGACTCCCTGATTTGAACGTCTTCCAGGTTATTTCCGACTAAATGTAATTAGCCAGGCTGAACACCCATGTGCCGTCCTCTTTGTTTACCTTTTTTTTACGTCTCCATGCTTCTACCGGAAACCCTGTGTTTAAAGTCACATTGCTGTGGATTGTGGGTAATTCTCTTTGGGCAGAGTCTGCAGAAATGCGGATTTACGGATTCATAAAGGGCTCAAAATGTCTGAGATTCCTCAAACAATGATTTACACCTCAAAATCTGTGTGTGGAGATTGCGCCTTTATACTGAAGTTATGCATGTAACCTATTATTTTGCAATGATGCTAGATGTAACACTAGATGGTGCTGTGCCTTTACTGAAATGAAACTAAAGATTGGTAGTGTGTACAAACGCTTATCGGGCAGGTGTTAAATACAAAGCTTAAAATAACAGGAAGAAGTGCCGGGATAAGAGCCTTACTCAGATACAGTTTAAGACTTGGTGTATAGTCACAAGTATAACACTACAGATCTGACAAGTATAACACTACAGATCTGACGGACGGTATCAGATGAATATTTCATCTCTTATATAATTGGTAGGAATGAATTTTGACCTTTATGTAGGTTGAACTGTATTTGCAATTGCTGTTTTTTTTTTTTTTTTTAAAGCCAGGAGAGTTGTTTGGGAAAAAGTAATGCAACAGATGGCTGGTATTTCATTTTCAAACAGATGTACAAGAAAACATAGTACATGCTGTTGAGGATCAATACAATCCACTCTAATTAGTTTAATGCTTTGCACTTTTAATGGCAGCACTCAAGGCCAACTCCTCTTTCAAGGCTTTCTATTGAGTGCATATTTTATTTTCTATTGCACTTTTAATTACGGAGCTTTTTAAACACATTTCATAGTCTTTCTCAGCCGGTTATCATCATGTGACTGAAAGCTCCTTTCACATATGAACTCAATATTTGTATTTCTTTATTCTTAATTCAACCAGTCCTTAGGAACACATTTTTATTTACAATGGCAACCTTGCCAAAGGCAAAACCCCCTTGTGAGATGCATTTGAAAACTCCTGAAAAAGGAAAATGCATTCGCTTACAGAAGTGTAGTTTTTTTGCCCTCTGAACAGTCCTGAAGTAGAAGTTTAAAGTAACGTAACATGTGGATAAATGAATCAAATTCCACCCACTTGTTACAAGCTCTAACCTTCTCCAACCTTCAGGCCACCGCCTAATGATCAGATTTTTGTTTCATCAGTTACGCTGTCAAAACAGACCTTGTAGTTTAGGGCGAAAGTGCACCCAGCCTACAATTTGGGACAGGTTATTATTTCATATGAAGCGGAGCAGAGAGATGAGCAAGGCCCAGAGCTTGCTTGTGAAATATGAGTGGAATCCAGCCTGGCAGGAGAAATGAGGGTTATCATCGGATGACACCGAGCAATGCGCTTGTGTGTCCTGCATGCGCATGCTTTGATCCCCGCACGCCGCGGAGGCCTGCATCCCACTCAGCCACGATGGAAAGGCACACCGTATTCCACAAATGAGCTCCAGTTTTGGCAGGGAAGTGACAGGCCGCAGGCTCCGTGAGGATCCTGGAACACTGAGGGCCAATGCTCCGGCGGGGCTTTGACAGCCTTTAGCCAAACCTGAAGATGATCCTTTAAAGCTACTTGATTTTGCGCCGCCACGCGCTCCGTGCCAACAGTCAGCCTGGTCCGTTCAAGAATGCGGTGCAAGGCTGGGCTTCAAAGACTAGTGTGTGTTCCAACACAATTCCTCAGACCAAGAAAGTCAAGAGGGGCTCATCCAGACTCGCTTCTCTCGTTCCAGTCTTTCAACTCTTTGTTCATCGCCCCTCTTTGTCTTTCCTCTACTTTTCTGTCTCTCCGACTGCCTTTCCTTTAATTTGTTATCCATCCCCGTGTCCCCCTCCCTCCTCCTGCCCCTTTGTCGCTCTCTCAGCCAGCCCATTTGTATTCATTCCTTACATAATGGAGAAATCAGATCGTGGTACTTAGCAAGGATGTAATCAAAGTACTGTGCCGGAAATTTAATTCAGGTAAAGTTGAAGTTAAGAAGAGGATAAATTATAAAGCTCTGTCTCCATTAAATGGGTGGAGAATAAGGTGCCAGCTTGAGAATTGTGCCGGAATAGGATAAGCTATTCGTTTCCCCCTTTACCATGACAGATAAATCAGAGAATAGTGTTGGGCTTGCCTGCCAGTGCTCATATTAATGGGCCTTTTCCATTAAGTTTATGACATCTGAGTGCACTGATAAAATGCATGTGCATCTTAAAGGGCAAATGACACATAATCTTTCAAGAGTAATGTGCACTGACCATTTTTCTCTTCCTCCACGAGCCTCTTTCAGTTCACACCAGAGGGGATATACTGTATATTGATTAGGTGCAGCAAGGTCCTCAGAAGGACGCGGTCCTCCCTGTAGATCTGAGGCACGCTGTGACTCTCAAACTAATCGTTTCAGTTGTCACACCCTCAACTGATTTATGTCTGGCTTGTAGACACGTCTGCGGTCCTTATGAATCTTTAAAAAAGGCAAATACGACATGGTCACAGTTGTAGAAGTCTCACCCCACGCAAAATCTTACGCAAGATTTTGGGAGCATCCAACTAAAAAAATAAAATCTCAGCCCCTCCCTTCAGGCCTCCCTCCAAAGCCACTTGAACACACACTGCCTGTCTCGAGTCCACGAGCGCAGAACATCGTTGTCATCGCTAACCGTATCCAATATGGCTGACGATATGATGCGTGTCATAAGACAGGGGTTACAAGTCAACATCTCGATTTATTGCGATACTGTAAGCACTGCAATATATTGCAATTTTTTAAATCTCATATCAGGAAAACTGCCATGGTATTAAGACAAAGCTCCACCGTATTCACCATATTACAGAAGTCTTCATTCTCTATGCTCTCGGTTTGCTTAAAAGCTTTACGGCAACAAGTGAAGCTACATTAAAAACAAGGCTCAAACACGGCTAAAGTTCTGACAGAGCTGACAGAGTTTATCGGAAGGGGAAACCAAGGGTAGGTGCTAGACTTCCACGATGGCGCTGTAGCTCGAGATGCTGTTATCAGCTGAAGCCACCAGTGCAGAGTGAATGATAACCAATGAGGCACGCTCACATGCACGGCCATGCACCCAAAAGTATGCGCGGCAGGCCTGGCTATGTCAACAAAGCAAGGATAAGCTGGGATAACAACACACACAGGGGGAGCGACTTCATTCTCTGCTCAGGTAGACATTAATCCACTGTATCTTTATAATAGATGTTTGCTTGCTATATCAATGTTCAGAATGTTAAATACGGCTCCTTTAAATGAAAGTAAAGTTTTTAGGTCATTTGTGCCCATTCAGATTCTAATGCATTTCATATAATTTACATGTAGGCCCATGTGAAACTGAGTGTCACCACACTGCAGCAATCATGCAAGAAATTGCATGAATCCCAGTGAAGAGCATCTGATGAATTACACGTCTGTGCACATCTCTGGCCGCTGTGGTACTGAATGCAAAATGCCTGGCAGTATCTCTGCTATATACACAAGAGGAGAATGACTCATCTACCTGTTGTTCATGTTTCTGGGCATAGTCTGTTAACTTTCCATTAGAAAATAAACTCGATTACAAATTCATTTAATTTCATTATCCACAGCCGGGAACATTTCTGTCTGGGTATTTGATTGGAAGGACATAATTAGAGTAAAAGGACTACCACTGGTTGAGCTGCTCTTCACCATAATGAATGAGGAAGGATTCACAGCAGAGGTAACAGAAGACTACAAGAAAGACCCTGGGCGACCGACCACTCTGTTGCCAGAGTGTGATTCATATACCTGATTTTCAAATTCATGTGGGCCAGCTCGATCACCATTTGCAAAATGCCCGGAGAAAATGAAAGATAGCACAGATGCCAAGAGAGATACTTGCAATGAGTGAATGTCAGTGCCTCAAAGCCATCAGTGGTACTGCGATTGTGTTCACCATCAGGGAGGGTTGCAGTAGCCAGCGCTAACTTTAAACATGGACTAAACCAGGATTTTAGCTGTGCTAGCGGCGGGACTAGGGATGGTTGGTCGACCCATTTCTTTGGTCCAGACTTAAAAATCTAAATATTGGATGGATTGCCATGAAACTTTGTAGAGTACTTCTTGGTCTCTAGAGGATGACGCTCTAGAATTGTTGTTAGAGGGGAGTTAGCAAAATGCTAGTTTGAGCTTTGTGTCTTCTTCCCTCCCACAGAGGCTTTGCTGTATATGTGTGTGTGTGTGTGTGTGTGTGTTTGCTTTTGTCAGTCAGCGTCTTTAAATGTGTTATAATTATTTTTAATGTAGTTTAGGCAATCTATAATTCTTCCTTATCTTTGTATCAGTCCCAGTGGCTGCAATCCATCTCTAATGTGACTGGGAATTAAATTCCTATTGATCTCAGCCTGTTACAAGTGCTG